TATTACAACATCCTCTAATGCTCCTGAAGCTTTAAATCGTATGGTTTCAGGTGGATACCGACATTTGGTGTGTAATTATTTTTATATAACTTTTACAATTTACAATTTATTTATTTAATTTATTTATTTTTATATCGTATAGCCACTTCTTGATGACTCTGATGATATAATAGGATTACTTGATATTACCGAATGTTTATTCCATGCTCTTGCAAGGCTTGAAAAAGCCCATGCATCAACAAAACAGTTATTTGCTGTTTTAGAAGATGTTTCGGACATTAATTCTTTAAATAAAGCTGATTTTTCCACCATGGCTGCACTTATAAAACAACATCTATGTTTTCCCCGACTAAGTTCTATTATAGATCCATCAAAACCTCCACCAGAAGTTTCTATTAGAACGTGTGTGCGAGATGCTGCACGAATTATGAAGGATCATCATCAGACTGCAGTCTTGGTTGTTGATGATAATAATCATAATAAAACACTGGGTATTTTTACAACAAAAGACATAGTAACTAGGTAAACTTTTATACTATACTTTCTTATACAATTCCAAATTAGTAAATTAATGATTTATGCATTCTTGTGAACAGAGTCTATGGTCAAGGTGTTGAACCAAACAACACTTCAATTGTAAGAGTGATGACTCCTTGCCCGGATATGGTAACAACTGATACTACTATCCTGCAAGCCCTGCGTCAAATGCAAGGTACTTGTTATTTTTGTCATTTTTGTCATTTGTTATATAATTCTTTAAAATATTTTTTTTTAATATTTTTTTTACAATTTTTAGATGAACGTTATCAACATCTACCTGTAATCAACGGTAAAAAAATCATTGTTGGGATGGTTGACGTTTTACAACTCACTTATTCCACATTAAATACTGTTAGTATATTTCTCTTTTTTAATATATTTTATATTTATTTTAGTATCTTATGAATTTAAATATTATCTTTAATTTTTTAGTTGAGGACATTAAATGGTGAACAGGTGGAAGGTGGTCCGGTCTGGAACAAATTTTGGAATACACTAACACCTGAAGATCCTAAATCCGAAGGTTCATCAGATCCTCCCATGAATGAAACTTTTCACTCGGCAAATTCTATAGATCTTCCAATAATAAAACAAAGACCTCATTCCTCAATTTTAACTCCACCTTCGTCAGAAAGTGTTTTTTCACGTAGAAATTCCAATTATTACAAGCTAGATGACGGTCAATTTATATACAAGTGTAAATACGATGGATCTGAACAGTCTCATCGATTCACTTCTAATACCCCAAGCTTTACTGAATTGAGCAAATTAGTTCGGTCAAAGATGAATATTTCCGAAAATGCTGATATAGCCATCAGCTATATCGACGAAGAAAATGATAAAGTTATACTATCTTCTGATGAAGATATGGCAATCGCTATGGAAATTGCAAAAAGTCAAAGTCAAAAATCTCCATTGATTCGACTGTGTGTCGAAGTAAAATCCGGAGAATTGAAAGTTCCTCGTTCTGTTGGAAATGGTAAAATACCTTCCACAAACATAACCACAGAATCACAATTTCCTATTTCAGAAAGTACAGCTGTGACGATTGGAGGTTTTCTTTCCATTGGAGTTGCCATTGGCGTTGGTGTAATGTGGGCAGCTAAATCAAAATGAAATTTTGCAATTTCCTAGTCTAGTTTTTTAATTATACGTAATTTAACTTTTTAAAAGTATCCGAATATGTTATTCTTTATACTATGTTGTATAAAAGAAATGTAATAGCTGTAATTATTATATGACTGATTTGTTTTTTTTTAAAGATAATCACATCAATACGATAAGACATTGTATGATTGCTTGACTCATAAAAATTGGCTGAATTACCAACCAAATATGGGCGATTAAATTTACTGCATATTATTTCAACATACATACATGTTCTGATCTCTAATGCATATTTGATCCGGTATGATTTGATAAAGATTTTATATTAGATACAGTTAAAATTTCATAAAATGATGTGATAAAATGAAAAATTATAATAAACAAAAATACATCATTGTTATTCATCTCATTGTAGCATTTTTTTCCGTAAGTGTGGTTTATCAATGGATTATCAATGTGATTGGTTAAATATAATGTAATAACACATAAATCACTACATTTACAGTTTTTCATTTTAGTTACTAAAAATCGCTAATTTAAGGGTAGGGGGTACGTAATGTATGTATGTACGTACGTACGTAGATTATTCTTATACAGTACTGTATAATCGATTTTATATTTAATATTTAAAAAATTTTGCTTAGCTTAATTGTTTTAAGTAATTTTGTATAATAAATCTTTTTGATACTAATGGTACGTATACGTATAGTAGCCATCAAAAGTAACGCCCGATTTATAAGGTAAAAATAAAATTTTTATTTATTTTATTTTTTCATTACAAAAT